TTTAATTTATTTTGTTTTCTGAAATTCATATACAGTGTTTGTACTGTACTATCTCAAAAAGAAGCCCATGGGCTTCTTTTCGAGATAGGTTTCTTCTCGAGGCTACTTTTTCAAACTTAAAAAAAAGCGGGGCTTTACTTTATCTCTAGATTAAGCCTACTGGGATTCAATGAGGTTTTACGGTATGCTTAGCGACATGATAGGCATTAGGTTATGTAATTTCATATACATGTCAACCCATCGCTCTCATGTCCTGCCACCCACCCCCACCTACTTACAAGCTTGTCTCCCACCCCATTGAAAATGTCCGAAGTAACTAATCACTTTTAGATCACCTCATATCACATTTTTTAATTTTTTTTTTTGCGTATGGTAGGCCAATCCTGCGTTATTATTATGAACTGATAAGTCCTTTAATCAAATAACGCATGTTTGTAGCTTTTATATTTTAGAATCATTTGTCATTCAACTTCCGTTCAAACTTCAGTGCATATGAAGAGCAGTTGTGTTCCCCAGTGACAAGAGTTGTCTTACTAAAGACACATAAGACAGGCGGCTCGACGATTGCATCCATTCTAGGACGGTATGCCTACACACACAACCTCAAGTTGCCCAGATTCAGGTCTATTAAAGAAGATCGCCCATTTTATCGACAGATGCTGGAAGGACAGCCAAATCTAAAGATGTTTGTTAGTCATACACTTTACAATAGACCTGAAATGGATTTCGTATTCGGAGACGCAAAGTACGTGACCATAATACGAGAACCGACTGCACAATTTGAGTCGGCATTTTTCTATTTCAAAATGCCACAAGCGCTGCATCTTGAACAATTTGAAAATCCGATTGAAGAATTTATGCAGAGTCCGGAGAAGTACAAGAACACAAAAAGATTTAGGCATCACGAGAAATCATTAAACGGTCAATTTCGTTATCTCGGATTACCGGAATCAAAATTTACAGATGAATGGTTTATTCGTTATAAATTAAAACAACTTGAATTTGAAATTGATTTAGTGATGATAAATGAATACTTTGATGAATCTTTGATTCTACTAAAGAAAACACTATGCTGGCAGTTTGATGATATCTTGTATTTATCGAAGAAAGTCAGATCGACGTCTAATCGAACATTATTAACCTCAACACTCAAAGAAAAAATTCGATCTTGGAATAGTGCAGACGTCCTGTTGTATGAACATTTCAACCGAACATTTTGGCGCCGAATTTCTGAATACGGGAATACATTTTTTGACGACCTGAACATATTCAGGAAGATGAAAGTAGCTTCAAATGAAAAGTGTGTGGGCAGTTTCTTTAACAGATCAATTAACGATGGTCCCGATGTAAAACTCGTAAAGGTGAAAGAGAACTTATCAGAAAAAGATAAACAAACTTGCATAGATCTTAATAAAGATGCTAATGATTTTATGAGGATTTTGGGTTAAAAAAATTGTCGAAATTTTATAAGCCTATGTGATATTTTCTTCGTTGTTGTGGTTTTAATACACAAATCCGTTACCGAGGGTTCCTTTTCTACAAGTTGGAAAAAATTGAGTTGCGAGTTGGAAGTATGCGAGTTGGAAAATGCGAATTGTTAGTTGGAAATGCGAGATGCGAGTTAGAAAATGTTATGGACTTATTGGCCAAGCTAATGAAATGTAAGGTATTAAAATTATTTGGAAAAGAGACCATTCTAAACAGTCAAAGTATACAATGTCCAAATATATAATAAATATATACTGTAAATTATTATTTTAGTAGGCCAACTCTATATCAGCGTATGGAATAAATAAATTCTCAGAAGTAGAAGAGGTGTGGTTGAGATGCATCATCCACAATTAATTAGATAAATAAATATGTTGCAACTTTCAATTTACAGTCGATTGTTATCTTTTTTTTTTGCAGACTCTTTTCGTGTATAGGCTACATTAATGTAGTTTCTACCTGACTGTTTTAATAATTTCCTGCTCGAAACTGAACGCTATATAGTTTTGTATTATATTGTCATTACCGTTTCTGTTTATAGTTGTGGCCTACAAAATTTGTTGTGGTGTATTATGGAGCCGGGGGCTTTCTGAGACGGGAGGATCTTTTGGCCTACATCATTTTATATACATATTATATACACATACATATGTGTATAAGAGACAGGGGGTATAGACCCAAACGAAACGTTCGACCAGCTTAGGTAGGGCCCAAACTAGTCCCACGACCACTAATGATTACAGAGCCAAACCAAGGCAATATATATACACAGCCCAGGTGTGAATGCATTCACACCTGGGCTGTGTATATATATTGCCTTGAAACTTTTAAAAAAAATACTGACGCCAACAATCATCACCACTATTTTAAATATTAAATAGTGTACAAAATAGTCAAACAACTTTAAAGAATTAAACATTAACGTGCGTGTCGACATTACAATTGCTTTAGAAATATGTAATTTTTTAGAGCAAAGCACCATATACGGAAGGGTGATCTCGAGAGTGGAATTTGTCCTTCAATAAACGACAAAATGTAGGTTCAAAGTTGTTCACTATAGTAGAATCAATTCAGAATGTTCCTCCTTTATATTTAATGCTGAAATTCCATAGTTACCTTTGATGCTAGTCTCAACTCCAGAATGTTGCTGATGTGGATGTAAGAAAGCAAATAGACCTGTACCGTAATTTTAGAATTTTGAGGAAATGGCTATATTGAAATTTTATAAGTCTGTATAGACCAAATCCTAATTGTGGAATGTTATTTATAACCCAATTTTTAAAAGAGATGAAGATAACTTAGAGAATGTACAGCAACGTGACTAAGATGTTTCTTGAGGTTAGGGATTTATCATAAGAGAGACTTTACAGATACTAGATCAGTTCTTTAATTGTCCATGGAATTGATGGGGTTTCAGCTGATTTATTTTTTTAAGAACTAGAGGATGATTCTAAAATCAAACATCAGTACTATAGAACGCCACTAAGATGTCGTGCCTTTTCATTGGATTATGGGCTGTGGAATTATTCTTTGTCGAATGACGATGTTAATTCAAATTAAATAAACAAGTATAGGACTATATGCAATTGGCAATCGTTACTGATCACCAGTCTTACATTTGCACCATACATGATTTTTTTTTCAAAACCGGGGCCTCAAAGCCTCGCTTTGCTTGATCTCTATAGCCTACCCAGGAGGATCAGACGAATCAAAGACTCTACTGGGACACAACTGTAAACAAGAAAAGGTACTACATTAGTAACTTTTTTTCTGTACAAAATTGGTTACTGTACAAAAATGGCGCATTAGAATTTTTACTCAGGCACGTCGGGAACCCCGTTCTGATTGGTAAAATATTTACCTGTGGAACTTTGTTGGTTATTCATTACCTGTTATGTACATGTAGGCCTACATATACCTGTTAATACCTGATGAAATTCTAACAGGATCAACAGGAATTTTCTCCAGGGGAACCTTTATTTGATGTTCTGGATTTATAAATGTACAATTTTACAAAGTAGGCCTAATTGAATTTCTCACACATTTGTCCCATTAAAATATGTCTTTTATTTTTATTATTGTAAATAGAGACCAAAACTGCTAAATACCATGATAAAAACATCGGTCTCAAAAGTGGTCTTAATTGGAGGGGGTCCTATATTTATTACAGTATTTAAAAAAATGAAATTAAATAAATCTAGAGCGCCCTCAACTACAAACTAGATCCCGGGACCGATCCGCATCCGCCGCAATCGCAGTTGCTGTAGTAAGTCACATTTTACCATCATCATTTAAGTAATAACTAGAATTCCTTCTTTTACGCAATGCAGTAAAAGCATAGCCTCCTCGCGGTGCAATTTTGCCCTGGTATAAAATGTTAAAATCTGAATCTCACTTTTTTTTTATGAAAATGTATGATAAGCATATTGCTTTGTTTAGGAAGGTGAATATGATTTGTAGGTAGGGCTGGTTAGTGTTAGAACTGTAAATATGATTACAGTACATAATAATAAAAAAAACTTTGCAGATTTCATATTTAATATGTTCCAAGTGTGGAGTGCTATAGGTTCTAATGTCAGACATTGTCTCAAAAAAATGTCTCGAAATTTTGAACCTTTCTTATACTTGCTTACATTTATTCTAGCTATTTAAGTTGTTTATGTATCAGAAGTTTGAACAGTTTGTAGAAACAAACTTATCTCAATAGAGTGCATTTAAATACATGCTCATTATTTTTTACCTTTTTTGTTTACAAATCATTTTATCTTGCATATTGGGCATTAAATAAATTCAATCAATTAATTTTAAAAATAATCTTTATTATTTAGTTGACATTTTTTTTTATAATAAAATAATATTTAATTTGCAGTCATTGCTAGAGGTGAAAGAAGCTAACAGCACAATTGCGCTCATCAATGCCATTGTAGATTACTTGGAAGCTTGTACCAGTAATTCAGTGCTGTCTGCTGTCGCCACCATTCAAAAATTAACATACTCACTTCAGTCATTCCAAAATAATCAATGTAAGTACAAACAATGGAGAAGACAATATGATAACAATAATAATAATAATTTATGTACACCATTTTCGTTAATTTGAAATGAAAATTTCCGAGAACCTGGCAACCTCTGAGGGACATCCAGAGTCCTAGGCATTTCGATACAGGGGCGGATTTAGAGGGAGGGCCTTCCCTCCCCCCCTTTTTTTTTGGAAAGAAAAAAGAATTGATCACCCAAAATGGTCTCAGAGGTTATATTTGGGTGTCTAGGAAACAAAAATTTCGCGGGGGAATTCTCCCAGACCCCCTATGGTGGGACATCTCTGGATCCGCCCCTGCCATATATGCATTGTTATTAATATTAGTCGCCATTTTCTTTTTGTAGTTACGCAGAATCTATGGATGTTTACACTACTTGTTGTGCTATTGCTGTCCGTGATTCTATTACTGTTTGTTTTTTACCGAGTTTATCGACGTCACAGAAGAAAGCAGGTCCCTCGCGAGGACGAGGAAGACACAACTCCATCAGAGCCTAAAAATAATCAACAACAAGCCGCAATAAAACGATATCATAATCAGCTTTTTACAAACCAAAGAGCGGCAGGCAGTGGCAAAGCAGCTACATCAGGCGATGCGTCACGCACGCCGAGCACAAAATATACACATAGCGAAAAACACGTGGAAGAAACACACACAGATAGCAACCAACAGAAGAACTCACAAAAATGCACTGTTGATGTTCACATGGAGAACACAAGGACCAAACAGAAGAACTCTTTGCATTTGAATGTGGAGAAGATCTGAATAATTAT